TTCTCTATTTTCGTAGTTACCACCCTCTGGTGGATAGATCACTTCTCCTGTTTCTTGTCTTAAAACGGAACCGCAAATTTCACGTTGTATTTCACAGTTTTTTCCTGTAGTGCCACGTTGACATGCACAACGATACTTATTTTTCGGAGCCAACTTACAACTACCACCATTTGAACATGGATTTGGATGGCATGCGTCATTTTTTTCACATGTAGCACCCATATAACCTTCAGGACATATACAACGAGTGCCCTCACCATTCACTTCACATGTTCCGTTATTCTACAAAATATAAACAAATTCAACATTGTGACTTATAACAGATCTGTGGAATATACTTGCCTTACATTCATGATTCTCACATGGATGTGTGGCTATTTCCGATTTACAACCATTTTCCCCAAAACCGTGACCAGACAAACCGACTGGACAAGTGCAAACCACTGTATCCGATATATACTCACATTTTGCTTTAGGATGACAAATATTTTCTGAAGTACAATCATTGGAAGGAGCCGGTATACAAATATGACCATCACCCAACCAACCTTCTGGACAATTGCCACAGTGATATGATCCCTAATAGTAAAGACATGAAATTCATCGTAAATTCAAAAAAATGAAATTGATTTCTCTATTTATTTTATAGTACCTCAGTATTTATACAGTTTACTTTCGGTATTAAACTGCAACCACCGTTATCGATAGCGCACTCATCCACGTCAAGACAAGTAATGCCATTTCCAGTGTATCCATTTGGACATGGACCACATTTAAAACTACCTGGCATATTGATACACTCACTATGGCAAGGATTAGTGTGAAGCTCACATTCGTTAATATCGATTACACATGCTGGAGAAGAATTTGTATATGTCCAGCCAACATCGCAAATGCAAGTGTAGTTATGTATATTATTGGCGCTCACACATGTGCCATGGCCGCAGAGTTCGTCTCCATTATATTTTTCACAAATCATCTCACGAAGACGGCAGTGAATACCAGAAAAACCAGCAGCACACTCACAACTATAATAATAATATTGAAATCAGTTATCAAATGGAAAATATTATTACTGAAAGCTTTTTTTTTCTTAAAAATTGATCATTATTTGGGCGTAGTCTGGGCGAAATCATAAATCAAAACAATCTCCAAACTACGCCCATGATGGTATCAAAATGTCATAGCTTTGTATGTAAGGACATATACTTGAAATCAAAGCATTTGACTATCAAATACAATTGAATAATACTAATGTATTATTAGGAATAGATCAGATCATACAACACCAAAACTATAGAAAAAGGAAACTATAATACGTTAGCAATCTACGAGTATTATAGGTATTTTTCATTTTTATAGTTTATAAAAAAGTAATGTTAGCGTTGGAACTTACCGATAACTTCCTGGAGTATTAATACATCGTCCATTATTTTGGCATCCTAGATCAGTATTGTTGAATTGAGCACACTCATCAACGTCACTATCACAAGTTTTTCCCTTAAAAAATAAAACGAAGTTGATATAGATATTTCGAAGCATAATGTGTAATCAATTTCTTCAATTCATGTACATCAAATATTATTAGGTAGAAACAGTTTAATGAGGATGAAGTTTTAAACATTTATTTTACTATATTTAAATTTTAAAATACGAATCGTTTTCAAATTCGTTCAGATATTCCGAACCCATTTACAATTCCTCTAAATAAGTTAATACATTTCAGAACAAGTTTCAGAAGACATTAGCGTACACTTCGTCGTGATAGTATTATCTATCGCAAGTAAAAGACAGCAGACCTTAAAGAAAGTTTTTAAGACTGTAATGTACTATTAATTTAGTAGTTCCTTTTCTTTGTTTTACTATGGTCATTAATCATCATATTTCCTGTTGCTAACTTTATTTAAACAACCATGCATGGTGTTCTAACATCATAATATGGCTGTATATTCTGGTTATAGGTCCAGAATTCATATATCCAATTAGGATTACCATTTCATCGTGGATGGTTCTAACAAGGTATGAAGAGTAGCTTGGAAATCTTTTCAGCTCAAGTAGATTTAAGGAGTTCCCTGTACGGAATCTACATAGTCAGTAGATTACTATTTTCCTCGGCTGTAGAACAGTAATTCTAACCCGGTCTTTGAAATTAGTATAGCAGTGCAGAACTTAACTGAGTTCAATGAGTAAGTCGTGCATAATGTCAATAATTTGTATTGCAAGCCATCAAGACATACAGGCAAATGAAATCGCCAAAGAGCTTGTTAGACATACTAGGCAAATATGAGTGAGATTGGTTTTAACACTTTAGTAAGATTATCATGATCGGATTTGTGGTAGCAAAACGGCATTTGTACTCACTTAGATTGCAGAGAAAACTCCGTCTTCACTAAAACGATGTTACTAATATACTTAAACATTGAAGTATGACAAGATTTCGGTGCAAAACTTATAACTAACACCTCTGGACTGGACGTAATTTACATTGAATGACCATAGTTCACAAATGAGTATATCTATATTTTATACATATGTAAACAAAGTACTATTTTGGAATGCCCATAGATGAATAACTCAATTAAAATGATGAACCTAATCAGTAAGCAAAGTCTGTCAAAGTATGAGAATATCTGAAGAATAATATTTTTATTTTTATTTAATATTTTTTTTTATTATATTTTGTTCGCACTAAGGTCTTAAATATAATGTTTTGCTAATTAAAAATTTTATGTGTGATGACAATGAATACAATTTGAGTAGAAATAACCTTAAAAGGGAACTTTCAAATCTAAAGAAGTGTTTCAATTATTTATTTATTGATTTTGTCCATGGTTCAAATTTGACTGGATTCAATTCATAATGTTACTTGCAGTGCAACCATTTCATAGGGATAATTAATCTAATATTGTTTTTAAAGATAACAGATAATAGGTATTTAGTGATACCCAAAACAGCTATATGGTCAGCCCAAGAACTCGGTTGATTAAAATATTTCTTCATAATTTCTTTTAATATGGACATTTTTTCTCAGTGTGAAAGTCTATCTCAAGCAGTGACGACTGCTCTAATATGCGGAGGTGAACGACGCACACTTTAACATAATTTGCATTATGTCAAAAAAAGTGTATATACATATATTCATTAACTATCTTTACATCGAGAAATAAAATTATTTATTCCATTTACATATTCATATTTTTAAAGATTAAAGTTTTAGCAAAAACACTAGGTGTGCGGAGTACCTGACCGCACATTTATACGTTTTGTTTAATCACTGCATCGACATGTATGGTTTTGATTACAGACGACACTTTTGTTTGAAAAAAGTTGGTTTGATGTTATGAGAAGTTGTGTTTATTCCAGATTGATATAATACTAAACTTATATATCATTTTTGATTTCAACAGTACATGTAAAAACAACATTGTAGAAAAGCTGCACACATTTTCAGAAAGGCACGCATCGTCACTGATCTCAAGCTACTTATAATTGAAGTCTCTAGCCTTTTTATCTTAAAATGTTGAACTTGATAGAATGTAATGAATGAAGAGATATCGTTAATATTTTATTTGATAATGTCGAGCTAATATTGGAGTTAACATATGAAAATTATTTCTAACCTTCCTCTTCTTCTTTTGATTGGGAGTAATGACAGATGGTTTAGGAACATAAGTCGCTGTAGATATTTAAAAATTTTCTAAGAAAGGGGTTTCAGAGAAGATGTAAATGAATGCTATTATTATATGGATAAATCAATTATATAAAACAATTTTTTCTAAACCTAAATTGTGTTTAAAAAAACTGCATAAATGCACTTGCTTCTTCAGTTTCTTGCAATATTGTATATTATTTAATTATTTGCAAGTTTTGAAATTAATTTTGATAGAGAACTAAGGGCCATGATGTACAGACATTGCACGTTCTACAGATAATTGCATGACAGTCGAAATTTCTCTATTTCTCTCATTCTCAATATTTTAATTTACAATGAAAAGAACAACAATTTTATATTTGCCGTGACTATGACTCCCTGAATGACATGTTTTAAAAAATTCTTTTTTTTT